GTCCTGTGCCAATCTAACATACTTCTCTGCCACTCCTCATGCGTTACCACACCTCCTCCCTCAGCACCCTATCATTTCTAAATTCACAAAAACACAATGAAGGTCTTTCTGACCCTCTCTGTACTTCTTTATCAGCATCTTCAAAGCAAAGATGGCACCTGTGGTGCTTTTTCTTGGCATGAAACCATATTACTACTCAGCAATTGTCACCTCTTGTCTAAGTCTTGCTTCCACAATTCTCTCCAGGATCTCTGTGTGGCTCATCAACTTAATTCCTCTGTAGTTGCTCCAACTCTGTACATCACCCTTGTTCTTAAAAATGGGCACCAGCACACTTCTTCTCCATTCTTCAGGCATTTTCTCACCCTCAAAAATACCATTGAATTATACAGTTTACACTCTGCTCCAATGATGTGAGTCTTGCTGCCCTTTCACTTGATCTTTTGAACACATAAAACATCTACCTTTCTTCTTTTCATCATGTCTGCCAGTTCTCTATCTTTGCCTGCTATTGTCACCACATTTACTTGCCACCCTCAGTCCTACATTATTGACTTTCCTCTTCTCCCTCTGTCTCTTGACACGTTTCCCTCCTCGTGGTCTTCGACTAACAGTAGCACAATTTCCGCCGGCACCCTGTTTATCAGCAGCACCAGTGGTGGTTGTTGTTAACCCAGGCCTCGACCGATCCGGTATAGTGTTGCTTGCATGTTAGTTTTAGCAAAAGTGTTTTACATTGTATGCCCTTCCTGACACAACCCATTTACCTGGGCTTGGGACAGACTCAAAGTATACTGGCTTGTGCTCGCTAGTGACAATAAAATGTGTTTGGGATGCAGACGTCCAACAGTTTTAATGAACTGGTAATTGTTTACACTCAGATTTGTTGAATAAAGTATGCATATAAAAAGATGAATTAGGTTGCAATAATAAATTTACCAATCTGGCAGAAGTTTTGCAAATCTACATGTGTTTGAAAGCTGAGTTCTGTCTTTATGATGCTCTACAATCCTGCTTGATCCCAGGTATTTATCCTTGTTTTACTCATTCTTGCTCTTTTCTTTTGTTTAGCAACAAATTCACTCTTATATTCCTACCTAAACATCTTCTCCAAAATCCCACACTTGTCCAATTCCATATTTGTTCACCCACACAGTTTAGAGCCAACCTAAGGTCAATCACAAGATTCAAGCTTTGACATTGTTTCTGGCAGATTGTGATACAGTAAACCTATTCAAATGGCGCCATTTATTATAGTCCAGAATCATGTTTAATATTTTGATTTTATACTTTTCAATGAGTGACCTTTTTTGCACATAAATGAAGCCACATACCAAAATGGAAGGTGGCATGTTGCTTATTTTTCAAGTTATCTAACTCACAAGGTTTACATATAGACATATGGTGGCAGCCATCTTGGATTTTGATGTGGCAACCCAATTTAGAAAAGACCCTTTCTTACACTCAGATATTGCTACACACAAAAATGGAAGTCAGCACCTCACTTATTTTCCTAGTTACGATGCTCACTATGTGCACCGATGGATGGACGAATAGACAGACAAACGGTATTGCCAATTTACCCTTATCGCTCCACAATGGGGTGGGGGGGGGCAAAAACAAGGTCATTAAATCTACAAGAAAAGTGAATCTGAATCTGATTAATAACAGAAAAGTGGTAGATGTTGTGGTGCTGCCTGACATTTAATGCAAGACAAGTGAGTGAAGAACTACCTGATCCATATTTTATTGCATGACGGAGAAAAAGAAAGAAGAGCTTAAGGATGTGCCTGAGAGGTTACTGAGAGGTTAGAGTGTTGAGGAAGATGTTCCAAATCGAGCGTAACTATGGCCATATTAGAAACCTGTACCTGACTGAGTGAAAGGGATTCAAAGCCCGTTCGGTAATTAACTATTTTAAAAACCAATTTTGAAAGAAAGCTTGTTTTCCAGTGTGTCCACACGCTCTGTGCACTTTCCAGAAGGGTATTGGGTTCTAAGCTGTTAAACCCTCCCCTAGATGGTCCGTCTGTCTGTGAGCATCAGGTCTACTAAAGCTCCCCCAGAAAAGCATCATGCAGCCAAAGACTGTGCATCGTGAGTGTGTGTGTGTGTGTGTGTGTGTGTGTGGGTGTGTGAGGAGAAGTGAAATCCGACTGAGAGGACTGGCTGAGAAACGTATTGGCCCCAGCTTCTCCAAAGCTTTGTAATGGCTGATTGGGACCACTGTCTGTGAGTGCGAGTGTGTGTTGGGGGGGGGGGGGGGGGCAGGGGGGAGGGGGGGGGGGGGGGGGGGGTCAGAGGGATAGGACTGCATGCAGTTCTGGACAATGACCTCAATATGATGCTGCACTGCACACAGTTGGACATGAACACTCACACACCTAGCACCCTGGTCACCTTTGCACTTTAACCACCTGTTCAGTATTGAGCACCAATTATACGCCTCTACCTATCGCTGAAGGACTACCCTTCTGTCTGACTGTTGTTAGGGCAGCACAAGAGAGGAGGGTGCTTTGTCCCACTGTGTGATTACCTTCTTATTTGTAAATTAGCTTTTCAAGAGATTACACCAGGTGGGAGTAAATGGGTGCATGCATGTGAGTTAACAAAAGATGAACTGAGGCAGATTTTGTTTTTCCCCATCCAGTGTGTGTCGTGGAGGTGAGAGAGGGTTTGTATGTGAGTGACTGAGCAAGAAAGAGGTTTAATTAGACTCCCTGAGGGATTAGAACCCAGATGAGTCAGGATTGTAATCTGTCCAAAGTGGCAGGAGCCATGACACCCAGCCAGAAGCTCACACACACACGCACATCAAGTCTTGCACAGATTTCACCAGGATGTCTCGGTAATCCTTGCACCTCCTGTCTCCTCTTTCTGCCCAGCTTTTCTGACCAATTCATTTTGTCTGCCTGCTTCTTCCTTTCATCGTCCAACACATCATACTTTTTCTCTCTCGTCTCTCCCATTTTCATTACTCCACCCCTTTCCTTTCACTTTTGTCATTTTTTTCACCCTGCACACCCGACACCCTATTTCTCGCTCATCTGCCACCCTCTTCCTTCTACCAACTGTTTCACACCATTGCTGCCTTCTGACCATCCATCTCATTATTTTTCAGGAAGCCCCGCCATGTTCCCATTGGCTTCGTCTTCGAGCCCCTTCTATTCTGTCTTCTCATCTCAGTCTCACCCTCTGGGCCACTTTACCCGCCTCTGCCACTTTTCTTTTTATAGTAATCATGAACTGCACTTGAATCCACTCTATTGCTTTATTTCTCTCTTAATACTAATTCTATAACTGAACAAGGTTTAAAACTGTGTGCTGTCCACTTTATTTTCGGTAGAAAATTTGTAAATAAGAAAGTTGTCCTTTTTTTGAGCATCATCCCTCATTGAGTTATTTCTTTCACTCAAACCATCTTTATTCTGTCTCAAAACACAAACTTTTTTTTAATGTGCGGCAACAATAACTTAAATGTAAAATGCATTCTACAATAAACAGTTACTGTTCAGCGACAGATCTGGTTCTCATGATCTCACAGTAAAGCTCTTTTAAAAAAATCAAAGCAGATTTTTTTTGAGCAGAACAGAAAAAGATGGCAGTTGAATGTAACCTTACTAGTGCCTAGCTTCATATGTATAAAGTGGGAAAATTCTCCTTCTATGAGAAACTAACTTCTTCACTTCACAGCTTCTAAAGCAGGTCAGAATGTGAACTAATAAATATTAAACCCATCCATCCATCATCTGTCGCTTGTTCCGAAATCGGGTCGCAGGGGAATTGTGCAGGAACCCCAAATCTTCAACAAAACTACAGAGGGTAGTAACAAATATAGCATGTTAGCTCAAGTATCATTGTTTGCATGAAATGGTTTAGAAATTGCTTCACAAAGTGCTAGGTTTTTTGTGATAAACTGTGTTAAGTTTATTTTTGTTTAGATAAGGGATTTCAAGCTTATCTATAATCTGACCAGTAAAGTCTCAAGCTGGTTTAAAAGAAAATTCATAATTTCTTCTTATACTTTTAAATAACAATGTTGGTGTGTGTGATTGTTGTAACCTTATTAAAAATGCAAGTTTAACTAATAGATAACAATCTGCCCATTTGAGTTTGTGAGTGTGTATTTAGTTTCTGTTACCTTTTTAAGACCTATTCTGGTATACACACCTACCAGGACCAAAACCAGTCCAACTATGGTGGAAAGCTATTTTAGGATTAGGGGTTAAGTTTAACACTAAGACGTGACTTGAGTTGAGGTTAGGATTAGGGTTAGGTCTGTACTAGTTAGGGTTATGATTAGGGTAAGGGTCAGGATTAGGCTACAGAAATGAATGGAAGTCAATACACAGTCCTAATAAGAATAGAAATATAAACATGTGTGTTTGTGTTTGTCATTTACCAAAATATTTCATAAACCAGTAGTCAAATTTTATTAAAATTTTCAAAATGTAATTACTGGATGTGCATCTACAACTTAACTTTTGGAGTCAATGCAATTAAAGATGGTTTCCAAAGCAAAGTGATCTTAAACAATGCTAAAAATGTATAAATGGCTGAATTATTTTATTTATTTATTCCTGTCACTATTTGGCATCAGTTTAATCTGTCTATTAGCAACATATCTCTAGATCCACTGGACGAATTTTAATGAGTCTTTAAGAAAATGATTCTTGGTTATACATCTACAACTAACTGTCGAAGCCAGTATTTTTCAAGGTGTTATTAACACTAACCAGCACATAAAACTGGTAAAACTGCAAATGTCGAGCTACAAATTGCTGTGGTAGTAGCTGAGAGTCATTTGCAGCACATGCTCTGAGCATGAATTGAATGAGTTTGTGCATAATGTTGTTTCCAAGTGTAGTTAAACAATTTTCACAACTTTGTCATCTCTCAACACAAGATGATCTTTGCCTAAATTTCTCTCATGAAAGGTGATGCACAATCTGGTCTTTAATTTTGACTTTTTTTTAAATTGTGTACTCCATTCCTTCTAGGCCCAGAAGTATTCAGTGGTCCAGGATAAATGACACTTTACCTGAGAGGGCAGAGATTTCTGGACCCACTCTTCAGATTTCTCGTCTTAGCCAATCGCACAACGGAACATACCTGTGCCAAGCCCAGAACAACTTTGGACGGGCCGCTGATCATTACACCTTGTTGGTGTATGGTGAGTACACCAACAAAAATGTTGCTCATTTATTCAATTTTTCAGACTATGTGTTTTATTTCCACATGTAACCCTGGTCATGCAGGGGTTAGTATTGGTTCAGAGTAAATCATTTGTTCAGCATCTCCTGCTTTGGATTCTCTGCTCGTGTTGACAATGCAATTTTTTTAATTATTATTTTTATTTGATGCTTTTTATCTTCTGATCTCTGGCTTTTCTCGCACATAGTTGAATACACTTTAAATATAGGTTAAGAACACTATTATTCATGTAATTCCATGTGGATTAGCAGGTTATTATTTCTGCTGAAACCCAAAGCTCACCTCAGGGAATTAAGAATAACTCAAACCCCTGAGTGCAATAATTAAAAACTAAAGAAATTATGTTTTGACAGCTAAATGAGCAAATTTGTTTGTTGACTGTTGCTTTTTCAGTGAAGTTTGTCTTTTCCTAATGTGCATAAATGAGTTTTTTTTTTTTTCGTGCACAGATTTCCTGTCACAGAAAAACATGCGCGGTGGACAAATTAGTGATTCAGATCTGGCAGTAGGTGTGAGTGTATGCAGTTGGTTGTGTGTTTTCTCTGATTTAATTTTGCAATAAACTGGTGACTTTTTGAGGTTGTACTCCAAGCCTGAGATACTACAACTATCTTTTCTCATTCAACCTTGATTTATACAGGTTAGTCTCACTGAGCCTCGAGGACTCATTTACGAGAGAGACCTGTTTTAAATTAAAGAACACAGATGAAGTACAGACAACAATAGACAATCATATAAAAAGCATATAGAATCAGAATAAGAAAAGACCAAGCTTTTCCTTAGTTTACACATTTCCCAGGAAAAATTGATAAGTCGACCTTTTTCAAGGCCAACCAGGAAGTCCGATTCAGATAACCACAGTTGTTGACTTATTCAGGCAGACTATTTTTTCCTTGTCAGCCTTTGAGTCTGTACTGATACTTTCAAGGTCCGAAATGGCCAGATTAGGGTGCATTCTATTTATCCATGCTTACGAGCCTCTTCAAGATGGTTTTTCATGCTGACGAGTCCCAAAACCGCAGGTGGCCTACAATTCAAATCACTTCCAACTTACGGTTTCACTCATAAATCAGCTGATTTTGAGTCCTCCGAGCACAAACAAAACTTTCACATAGACAGCAGCCTGACGAGGTCCAAATTAGCTGCGGCCGTCTTCTTTGTATGTTGCTAAACAAGGATCCAGACTATTCCAAAAACAGGAAACCTGTTATCATAAATCCAATTATATGCAATTTCAGTGTCTTCAATCAATAGCAGAGGTAAACTCATCACCCCCAGAGATACATCCAGCTTCATCCGTGTCATCCAAACAGATGAGGGTTCTCCAGGACCCTGTCGCTTTGTTGAAAAGATTTTGTCATTTGCGTCAAAAGTCCAGTTGGTCAGATCCAAAACAGTAGTTTTCATTTCGGAAGAAAAATAAGAGCTGCTCCGATACACAGACAGAGAGCAAAAAAGCAGAAGAACAGGGAGCAATAGAAGAAATTATATAAAAATGAAAGAAAAAAAAAAAAGCAGTGACATTATAAAGCCTAAATAAGCAGAAATTAGCACAAAAATAGGAAATTAGCACAAAAAAGCTGAATTAGCAAAAAAAAAAAAAAAAAGTGGAATTAGCTGAAAAAAGCTAAATTTAGCATAAAAACTGCTAAATAGTATTAACTAAATTATTTCTGTTCAGTGCCCTGAGATGACTTCTGTTGTGACTTGGAGCTATATAAATACGGTAAACTGAACTGAATTGAAATAGTAGCTGAAATAGCATGGAAAAAAAGCTGAAAGGAGCATGACAATCTGAAATTAGCATAAAGAAGTTAAATGGGCTAAAAGTAGCAGAATTTACCACCAAAAACTTGAATTTATCTGAAAACATCTTAAATTAGCTAAACAATGCTAAAAGGGTGGCTGAAAAGGTAGAACAAGCTTGAATTAGCATAAGAAAGCAGAATTGGTACAATATGCTTGATACACAGAAAACAAACCAAACAAAATCAAGATGGCAACAAAAACTCAACACAGAATTTGTTGGAACTCTGAGTTTTACATGAATAGGCAGAAAAACACCTGAACATCTGTTGCATGTACAATTCTGTTGAATGCTCTTTGTTGTACGGGCAGCAGTATCAGAGGGGGGCAGGATGTGGGTTAGAAGCTTTTGTTGTTTTGTCCACCCCATCATTTCACCTGGATTCACTGGTGGTAGCTCCATTCTTAATGAGGGTCGACCCAGTTAGGCTCCAACTCTCTACAGCTCAAAGAGGAGAACAGCTGAGTTTTCAACATCACATGAAAACCTTGTGACTGTTTTCCAGGAACTGTGACAAATTGGCCAACTTTCAGTCAGAGTGCTAGCTGCATTTGAACACAAGGTTTTGATGTATGTTAATGTCGTGTAATCCCTACATGAAACGACCGGTATACGCTCACATCTGTGCGAGGACAAAACTGGAGTTTTTGACGTGAGGACAGCAGTGTGGCTGAACTGTAAGAGCAAGCCCATCATTAGAGATGGCACTCCAATTTTTGACGTGTTTTTTTTTTTTTTTTTTTTGATAATTGCACAAACGCTTCTGTCACTCAGCAGGTTGGCCCTTTTGATCTACACTCCCCACCCCCTGGTGGAGGCGCCTGTCATTGCATCTAAGTGCCTGATTTGAAGATCACAAGTAGAGGGAAAAACGGAGAGAATAGAAATGTATTTTAGAACAATTTTAGGCTGCTTTTAGTTAGCAGCCCTTCATCCATCTATCACACTAACACTACCTTTCACTCGCACACGGACGCCCTGTACACACTGTTGAACAAGCTTTCAATGACACACATAATGACAGTTTTCCTCAGGCAGCAAGGGCGGCAGCAGTAGCAAGATGAAAGCTGACATCCCCTCCCACCATCTTCTTCCTCTTTTCTTCCTTCTTCCTCACTCTCAAGACGGTTAGACATTTAAAGTTTTGATGTGAGTTACGGCATCTGAAGGAAAATATTCCTCTCTTTTGGGGCTCTCTTAGGTTTTTTTTGCAGTTTCATTTGTTTTTCCTTATCTGTTTTTTTTTTGTCCATCTCACTGCAAGTTACTCATTCTTTTCATACCTTCTCCTTTGCTAAAAAGCTGCATTTGATTAGAAAATGGGGGGTGGGGGGTGGTTTACATCAAAGGAAGTTGTGCTTCAGCTCATCTGTACTCCACGGCACATTTCGAGCAGCTTCTTAAATCCACATGTTGTCTCGCATCAGTGGTGGTTTACCGCATGGGTTCTCAAACTTTTTGGGAGCCCTTACATGGGGAAAAAAAAGTTTCAGGGACCCCCTCATAACCCTCATGTTTCTTAAATAATTTTCTTCCATTTGTCTTTTTAATGCAATGGAAATATTTGTGTAACATAAATCAATCAACCTTTATTTAGACAGGTAAATCCCATTGAGCCTCAAGGACTCATTTACAAGAGAGACCTGATTTCAACAAAGAAAGATGACAACAATGGACAACAGCAACAACAATAAATACTGAAGACCTGTTCTGTAATAGTGTAAACATGGGGTGTTTTCCATTCAAGACACTTAATTAACAACATTTTTAATTTCAACTTCCAAAACATACAGTTCTGAGAAAATTAACAGACTCAAAAACCACTAAAACTTTATCTATTCACATAATGAACATAATAAATGTATTGCCATTTCTTCCAATTATTACGGAAAACTCTTTACATAAAACTGAAGAGAATCATAAAAGCAGTAGTCATACCAAGTAACAGGGCTTAAGTTGTAAACAGATTGATGCTGGGAAGCACATAGTGGGTGGGAGGAGGGTGTGTCTGGGGGTCGTCACCCAGAAAATTTTGAATAAAGTAAATATAATTTCCTGCGTTTTAGTGTTTTTTAAATGGGTCGATGGGCTTTAAAAAAAAGTTTAAAAATAAATATAC